TTACTTTTATTCCACAATATATAAACAATATTTTATATTTATATAATTATATACATATATATGTATGTATACACAGGTGCTGTGGCAGATAATCTTCCTTATGATTATTCTGATTCGATGTCGGTGTTACCGTCGATGGCACCATTTCATGCAATGAGGATGCCGAGACATGCGAGAAGACAGATGATGCGGTCGCCAGGATATTCTGCGATGTCACTTCATCATCCCATGTTATCTGTAGGCAGAGGCCGAGGATTTATTCCACGATATGAGATGAACTATACGCTGACAAATCCTTATTTGTATAACGGACAATATTATGAATATTTTACACATCTGGTCGAGCGAGATTCGAAGCAGCAAAAATCGAGAATACGTAACCGCCAAAAATCAACAAGTAGATCTATCTCAAGAACAAGGACTAGATCGGATTCTAGGAGAAAATCTAGAAGTATCTCCAGATCGCGTAGTAGAAGACGCAGCGGTTCGCGTTCCAAGAGTCGTGATCGAAGGTCGAAGTCAAGATCCAGATCGAGATCACGTAGATCAAGATCACGATCACGCAGATCAAGGTCGCGATTGCGTAGATCGAGATCACAATCACGCAGATCGAGATCACAATCGCGCAAATCAAAATCGCGATCGCGTCGACCGAAATCTCGGTCTAGAAATCGCTCTAGATCGCGTAGTCGTCGAAAATCAGGAAGTAGATCTTGCTCGAGAAGAAAAACAAGGTCAAGATCTAACTCTAAGACGAGGCACAAGAATAATAAATCGTGCAGTAGATCAAAGTCAAGTTCCAAAACGCGTCCCTCTAGATCCAGACGAAATTCACGATCTAGAAGTCGCTCCAAGTCTCGCAGCAGAAATCGTTACAGGAACAAGCGTGGCAAGAGATCGTCTTCTGTTGTCAAAGTTACACGAGCGAAATCACGACCTACATCACCCAGACGAAGATCACGCAGTAGTTCTTGGTCTATGCCAAAGTCACCAGGTCGTAGAAGTTGCTCCTGGTCAAGAGCTGCCTCCGCAAATAATATTAACGAGCAAGACGTGAGCAAGGAATCCGAAAAACCTGTTCAAGAAGAAACGGCAAAGACAGCGGAAATGCAAAGCGCAGCAGCGAATTGATTTAGCACTTGATTTTGTTAAAGCATGTCAAGAAGAAACATTAAATATACAACTATACAAGAAATAATCTTTTAGTATACTTGCTACACAGTGCGAATACTTAAAAGTCTCTCTAATTACAAAATGTAGATAGAACTTTCTTCTTGTACATAATATGTAAATAATTACGTTATGATGCGGTTTTTCTGTATATTTTTGTATTTAAATTAAACTTTCAAAATGTTTTTATTCTACATTTACTTATATGGCAAGATTAATTGAATGAAAATCTTTAAATTCAAAATAATTAATAATGAAGATAGGATAATCAACAGTCAACATTAACGTATCGAAGTATGTAAAAACATAGAATAACTTTTTGAAAAAACGTTCTGTTTATTATGTATTGCATTCCAATTAAATTGCAAGATTTCTTAAACTTCGAAAGACAAAACTAATATATTTATTAGCATTATATCTTGATAATGATTCTCGATTCGATTCGCATTCGAACTATCTACACATATACAAAATGATTCTGTCAGTAACTAAGCTAGGATAATTAAGATTCAACTATATGTTTCTTTAAATGGACTCGTACTTTTTTTGGTGTAAATCATTTCTTATTATTCTCTATATATAAAAATATTAAGATGATCGGAAATACATACTTGCTATATATTTTATATTAATTTTATTAAGTACTCAAATATACTATTATAACACACAAGTGCATTTATTTGAAAAAATGTCATGGAACGATAGACCATACTAAATAGAGTCTTCTCTATAATTTGTTTTCTATCTTTATTTAAAAAAAAAACTAATTTAGCTTAGTTACTAGAATCGTCTTGTATATAAAAATTCTTGTTAACCAGTTATATTTTGTACTATTGTTGAAATTGCAACAATATAAATTCGACAAAGAAGCAGGTCTTTAAATAAAGAAATAATATCAGAATAGAAGGTATTCAATTTAACACACAGGAAAACCGAAGACACGCATATAGGCATATAAAACAAACAAATACGGCTTATCACAATACTGCATTCTTTTTATTAAGTATTTCCTTGATTTACGTTTCGTCCATTCTGTTTAAGCGGGAAGATATAATTGAAGATGATAATATTAATGTTTTCTTACAATAAAAAAAAATAAATTTATCTCCTACACATTTTGTTATTGATTTTTTAATATGATTAATCCTTAGTATAAAACATGATGATTTGTGGTATTTTTATTACACATGATAGATCTTCCTTAGGTTAATTTTCATCATTTTCACAAGTAACTATTAGGTGTTAAACTTAATTCCTATCGCTCGCTACTAGAGGGAGCTGGCTCCAACGCTGGCGAGTGACGTCATATGTCTTTTGTAGGATGTGTTCCAAAATTGACTGCCAGTACTGAAAATCTATAGTACACGCGACGTAAACTGTAGC